ACTGAAACCTGTACACAAATGTCTTATTATAGCACATGATCTTTGAAAATTGAAGAAAGATCTTTGAAAATTAAACAAGAAGTGTTATCATACATTTATTTATTTACATTATATACCCTGTGTTGCATCGTCGGTCGGGACATAGGAAATCCCATGTAAATTTTAGTGGGGTCAATTATTGGCTTCCCTAATTATTTTAGAGAATAATTCTATTTAGGTTTATTGAAGAGCACTAAATACCCAACCCACATTCAAAAGAATAACTTTAGATATTTTTGATTAGCTCGTTCACGAGTTATCGCCCGATTTCTTTTTAAATATTTCTCCTTTCTTGGCCCTTATGAGCACCAGACTTATGAGCACCAGTCAAGGTAAAAGATAACTGTCAAATGAAGTTGTCATTTCAGAAATTTACCTATTTAGTGCTTTATTATTATTGAAAACTCATTCCTACATCGGAAATCTTAAAGATGTATTTATAAATACAAATTAATATGAATTAAAGTAAAATAAAGTAATCAATTACAAGGTTAATTATAGTATTATTACAATATTTAATAACTTATTAATTTAGGTACTATTAAATTGTTAGAACTTTAGGATTTAAGAAGATGTTCAAATATTCCTCCATCGACTGCTATAGACAATAACCCAGACGATCATAAAATTCTCTTCTTACATTCGCTAGTTGGTAAACTGAAATTCTGTTGCATTCGGCAGAAATAGCATTTTTTAACTCGTCTAGATCTGGGTATTTTGTATCCTTGTATATCCTGTTTTTTAAATTGCCCCAGAGAAAGAACTCATTTGGCGAAATATCAGGAGACCTTGCTGGCCAATTTACTGTATGATTTAGACCAATAACGTTTCCGTTAAAACTATTGTCTAAATATTAACAGCCAGGGTACTATGTGCCGGGCAGCCATCCATTTGGTACCAAACTTCCTGATTTTCCCTAGCGGCATCATGTAAAGCAGGTAAAATATGATTTTCGAGTAGTTCCAAATAATATTCTGCATTTAAATTTCGCGTAAGAAATAATGGCCTAATAATATTGTGTCCGAATATCCCCAAACATTTACTTTCTGTGGATATTGCGTCCTTGTTTCGACAAACCTGTGTTGGTTTTCTTTGTTCCAATATCGATAATTTTGAACATTGGGTTCATTTTTTCCCATCGTTCTCTTCCATGAACAATAAAACTTCCAAGTCTTCAAAACTTGCATCTTCTCTTTGTTTCTGCCTTGCTTCACATCTGCAGTTATTTGTTAGGGTACCTTTGGTCTCAAATCTCTGGATATTCCTTGCGATTGTAGATTTTCCAGGTATCGGTCTATTCGGATACAGAGCAGCAAACATATCCGATACCTTTTGATTACTATTTCCTTGGTAATACCATTTAACCATCAATACTTTTTCTTCGGTAGTGTAATTCATGGCTAATATTTTCGATGTAGGTATGAGTTTTTAATAATAATAATAAAGCACTAAATAGATAAATTTCTGAAATGACAACTTCATTTGACAGTTATCTTTTACCTTGACTGGTGCTCATAATTAAATACAGAGCCATAAGAAAGGAGAAATATTTAAAAAGAAATCGGCGATAACTCGTAAACGGGCTAATCAAAAATATCTAAAGTTATTCTTTTGAATGTGGGTTTTAGTGCTCTTCAATAAACCTAAGTAGAATTATTCTCTAAAATAATTAGGGAAGTCAATAATTGACCCCATTAAAATTTACATGGGATTTCCTATGTCCCGCTCGACGATGCCAACACCCGGTATATCAGTTCATACCAAATAAACTTTTAGTCACGTGAGTAAGCTTGACCGGCACAGCGTTGCCTTCTTTTACATAGTTTCTTTTAATCAAAATATTTTAGGAAACAAATATAAATTAATTATAAATATATAAAAGGTAAATTATTATTTACATCAACAAAACTCACCTTCTTAACAGCACTTAAGAGAAAATAAAGGGCCATTACTACCGATTTTCCGTTCAAAATATTCTAATAAAGTTGCGATGAGTTTTTTGCGGCTATTAAGCTATCTTGTAAACTTCGCACTAAAAGAGCTTCTAAAAAGAACAATGTTGGACTGCAAGTTCTGCTAGTAAACATTTTCAAGCTAAAAAAAGTATCACAACCTGGGGCGTAAATAAAAACTGTATACTAAACTGGTGGTACTATGATTACAATCGCAAAAAATACCGTCGGAATTTTTTGTCGCAATTAAACGATTTTTATTTTTTGTCTTCAAAAAGATATAAAACATAACTAATAACTAAATTAAAATATAGATTTGTAAATAACATAAACAAAAATGAAACAACGACGTTTGGCAGTGAATTTTCTATAATCGCGCCCTCGATTACGTAACTGAAAGTTACTATAAATAAAAAACTCTAAACTATCAAAAAACTATAAAAACTATAAACTATAAATAAAACTACAAAACAAAATCAAGTTTTCTAGTACGCTGTTTGGAAAACCTATAATAACAGCATCAACATTTATTTCAATATCTTTATGGATATTGATTAGAGTTAACCCTACTTAATCTGTCCAAGCCAATTGTACTTTGAATGTGGCTTTTTAATTAGGTCGAACATATTATAAACGATAAATCAACATAATTAAAAGCATACAAAGTGTTCTTATATATCGAGATATTAATTAAAAAATCCTTTCATAGTCAATGACTATTTCAATTCTCGTATCTCGTCAAGCGTCAGGGGGGGGGTACTGTCCCCCAGTACCCCCCTTATCTACGCCCTTGATCACAACACTATTTATTAAAACCAAAAACTCCTAATACAAAACTAAAGTGTCAAATCGAATGACAATGTCAGGAAATAAATAAATAAATGTGGCAACTTGACATTTTTACAACAGGGCTACCACCTGAATCCCCAGCGCGTAATTTAAATTCCAGTTGGTCAGTACGGCGCCAAATATGTTACCATGGTTGGCAACAATGAATTTAAAAATCGCGCCCTCGATTACGTAACTGAAAGTTTAATTGATATCAAATATATATGCTCATTTATATAAATTTAGTATAAGAAGTATAGAAAGTATTAAAGTATATAATATAATAGTATAATATAATAAAAATAATAATTCATCAATTCTTATGTATTAACCGAACAATAAATTCTATCTTTCATTAGATTGAATAGGGTCTTAAATGCCACCACATCAAGAAGTATTGTAAATAATCACAATAGACACCAAGTGACGGTATCATAAATATTTTCAGCCATATATAACACAGAAAATGTACAGAGATACATAAATTAGCATCCTATTGACACTGCAGTTGACGATAACTCACAGCACGTATATAATATTTTTATATTCCTTTTCATGGTCAAAGGAACAAACTGTAAACATATGTCATTAAAATATTATTTTTGAGATTTCGAAGGAAATAATACTAGAGGGTGTTAATTTTTTAAGTTAATAGAACATCAGGTAGAATAGTAAAATGGGTATCTTCCGGTGAGATTTTTTAAATAAATATTTCTACAGTCCTATGAAATTAGTTTTATCTATTGCTAAAAGCATGGGTTCATATCGTTTGAGTCAGTAAGTTGGTTTGGTGACTGTTTCAAGATTTTTTTGAGTAGAGTAATTTTAAAAAGCAATATATTGAGAAGAACCGCCTATTTAAAAATTAACATGTTTCTTCAAATTCAAAACATTCATTTTTAAGACACTCTGTATACATAAATAAAATTATTGATTTTTACATATTATTCGCAAACTAGAGAGAGGGAAATCAGACAAATAACAGCGATAGTAGAGGTTAAGTAATAGTTTTTAGACTACCGTTCGTGACGCATTGGTGTTATTTTAGTTCGTAAGTTTTGTGACAAAGAATATTATTAAAGGTAAAGTAATTGTTTTGTCATTATTTAAATAGTGTTAACTAAAGCATATAGCTTATTTCTCTGTTGTAATATTCTGTGCTAAAGCTTTTCCTTCAAAACCAAAGAATGGTATAACTCGGAGTCGGATCGTAACGGATATTGACACCAACCATATCAACTCTAGCTGAGTAGCCTCCCGAATCCAGGGACCTCAGTACTTGCAGGTGGGTAACTAACAACACCTCTTCAGGTTCAAACCTTGATATGGGGACAGTTTTTGTATTGTAATCATTTTTCTTTTATTAAAGTTCAGAACAGCATAGTTGGATTCTTCGGAATAGTGATCAAGGTTTTCTCTGCCGTGCTCTTTTACTTGTGAATTCCAGGCAGAGTACGGCACTCCTTTCATTTCATTTAATAAAATAAGTACGGTTATTTACAAATTTAGCGTTTGATTTACATAACCTATTCTACTCAAATATCACAAAATATTGCTTCTGTCGAGCGCATCCAAGGTAATCACAATAAAAAATATTTTTAACACAACAATAAGGTTCCTTTATTTCATTTAAATTGTTTTTTTATACAGTTGACCAAAATATTACCTTTTCATCTTTGTTGAACGAACATGGGTTGTTATACTACAAACTACAATACATACCCTAGTAATTATACAGGGTGAGTTAAATAAGTGCAGATATTCTTAAGGGTAGTATATTTCGACCCCAGAAACATGATTGAATTTTTTTTTCGCGAAATTTGTTTTTGAAAATTTGAATTTTTTCTAAAAAAATTCGATGTTTTTTTAGTTATTAGTTACAAAATATAATTTCTTAATAATATGGCACCGTAGCTAGTATATTAAATTTACAAGAAAGAAAACCCAGAGAAGATTCATCAGTTCTCAAAAATTTTCAAAGTAAAATAACTGGGTTGTTTTGAACTGATTTGAAAAACGGTAAAGAGAGAATATGTTTTTTTTATCGAGTTCTACCGATATCAAATCGAGTTCTACCGATATTACCCTGCATATCAAAATGTAATTAGATAGACAAGACATAACTTTAATTCACTCCATCTATAAATTGAGATAAAAAAAATATTTTTCTCTTCTTTTCAGCAACATCACTGACCGAAAGGGCAAACGTCGAGGGAAATTGGAACAGCCCCGTGCGGCTTAATCACAAGATAAAAGACGGCCAGGGAAAATGTACGAAGGAAATGAACAAAGGAAAACGGACATCGGCATGACGGAGGCTACAACGCGACCCTCCAGCAATTTTCTGAAACGATCTGGTCGAATGGCAAGGAAAATAAAAAGAAACATGGAGAAAAAAGAAAGGAAAGTTAGGGGTCGCATTAAACGAAATCACCTTTATAATAACTAATGGGGATTTTGGGTGATGAGGTAAGCTTAGCTTGGTAACCTAACATCAGAATTGGCATTTTTGAAAAAATTCTGTATAAAAGTAAAAACACTATACAAGGTGGTCCGAACTGTATTCTGGAAATTGACTATGACTACTTTTTATTGTGACTATTTTCATTCTAAATATCTTGAGAACGGTTGCTCGTAGCGATTTTTGCCAAGAGACATTTTTTACGTAAAAAATCACGTTAATTCATATTTTTTCACTCAGTAGTTTTATACAGGTACGAACGAAATGTTATTACTCTTCAAAACAGTTAAAACACATTTAGGTGGCGCTGCCCACAAATAGGAGTCATATTGATATCAAGATCAAATTTCTCATGCCAAAAATCTCCCAAACACCCATTTTCATCCAAATATTGACGTTACTTCAGAAATTATTTGGAAAAAATCGAAATAAAAATGAAACTTCTATACCCTGTATTTCAGAAACTAAGCATTTTAGGACATACATTTATACGAATTTTTTACTTATTTTTATCTGCAGAATATGCTGCCAAAGTTTCCGGAATACAGTTCGGACCGCCCTGTATATCATTAAATAGTATTTACCTTAAAAAAGTTAGTTATTTTTTGTTAACACCACTGCTAGTTGAATCTCAACGGAAACCAGCTGGTCAGTGGTATTTTTCCAACAACAAACAAATTTGCCTAACCAACAAAAAATGCTTTTTAACGTCACAGGAGGTAAGGAAGGTAAAAAACCACAAAGAACAAAGAAAAAAATATATTTAAAATATCTAAATAGAAATGTTCAGAACACTTTATTTTTTTTAGCAGATACCTCAGTTATAAACAGGGTTGGCATGATTTAAATCAAGTGATTTTTTTAATTTTAATCATGTGATTTAAATGAAAAAAAAATATTTTATTGAAACTTTATAATAAATCAAAAAATAATTGTAAAAGATATAAAAATGTGTCCTAGAAAACTGTAAAAATATTTCTATAACAGATATAACAGATAATAAATATCTGTAATATATGCAAACGTTATTAATAATATGTAATATATTATATAAACGTTATAAAACTATATAAAAATAACTATTCATCAATTTAATTGTTGGACCGATTTTTGAATTAATTTCGTGTGAATTCATTAGACCGCTAAATGCAGGCATTTTAAAATTTATGTATAAGTGACAAAAATTCGCTGTTCGAAAGTTCGAATACATATCATTCGCAAAGTCTAATGCAGAACTAGGTTCTTCTTATATAGAAACTCTATCTTCATTCCCGAGAATTTACAATCGTTGTCAGAAAATATGTTGTTTTATATTTTTTTTGAAACGGTTGTATGTTTCCAAATTCCTACCGACATTTTGAGCTGCAGTAAGTCCTTTACACTTTGACATTTGATAAAACATACTAATTTTATTCTCGACTTAAAGACTATTTCCGAACAATAATGTAGTGTATTGTTTTATTAGGAGTAAAAATTATACTTTTTTTGACGATGCTGTACCTTTGAAGGACCATCGTAAAGCTATTCCGACGTTACAGGGAGGCATAAAAAGTACATTTTTAATCCGAATAGAACATACTATTTTTTTAAACATTACAAATATTTTTTTAATCAATTTCAAACATTGCAAATAATGTAAACAGTAATCGAGCAACAATTTGTACACTCGTTGAATTTGACACTTAATATCAGTTTAATAATATATATTTTTACTTTTGTACTTAGACGTAACAGTGCTTTACTTTTATGTCTAGGCGTTAAAATTACAAAAATTAATACTTTTGAGACGTTTGAAAAAAAAATCCTTTTGATCTGAAGCGAACGACTTTTTTTGCGGAATATATTGGTGACCGATGACACGCCCCGTAGAATTGCTAATGTTATCGGTATCGGGGTATAGATTTAGCCATTTAGGATAGGACTTTAATTGGAAATAAGTCCTAGTCATTTGGAAATCCGATTTAAATATTGTTTTGAATTAAAATCAAAAAAATCTGATTTAAATCAAATAAATCTGATTTTTTTGGTTTTTTTGAAAAAATCATGATTTTTTCCAACCCTGGTTATAAACCGTTGAACTCTTGATATTTCACCAATCTTAAAAAAATACTTTTTTATTTTGTAGATTTTTTTCAAAAAAAAAAACAGAAATATTTTTCAAGAAGTAGGTACATAATCTCATTGTCTAAAACCCTAAATTTATATGAATGACTTTTCCTGCTTATGCATGTTTGTTTCTAGCGTTATTCACATCACTTGTGTCACTGTAAAAAAAACGAACGGTGCACTTCCCGTATGTCAGCACGATATTATAGCTCCGCCTCCTCTTCATTATTGTCATTTGTTACCAATTTAGGAGCATAGAGCGCAAAAATTTAATGACATACAATTTGTTTTACATTTGGCTGTTGAGCGTTACATCTCACCAGTCAGTTTTCGCATAGAAAAATGATTACGATACAGAAACATTAAATATAACGCTAACCTATTTTTTTTTATTGCAAGTTCTTCAATTTGTACCAGCTCTGTTAACATTTTGCTGATATTTATTTATTCTTTCACCTCTTAATTAAATCTATTATATTTTTCTAAAGTTACAAATTTTTAAAATAAAACTTTCTTAATGATATAAATTGTACAATAAAAATTGAATACAATAAAAAATACGGAACGGGATATGGAATGGAAATGGAAGGTATACTGAAGTGAATAAAAAGAAGCAAACCAAATAATTTGTGTCTCATACGTTAACGTTAAAAACGACAAAACTCCCTATTTACTAGAAGCCGAAACCGAAATTATACAGCGGCGACATCTAGGCGGTGAAAATCGGTAAATTAGCGGTAAATTGTTTTTTTTTCGTGTCCTTTTTTACGTCCGTAGTTTTTCCCTCCGTGTCGATTTCAAGGTGGCGTTTAAAACGAATCGAAATTATAGGCTTTGCTACTTTTTTCTTGGCCGTTTAATATTTAAAACCCTCAATTTGCTGGATCTAGCTCTACTAAGGAACAGAATGAAGGGAGACGACAGTATTGTTTTTATTTGTTTAATTAATATTTGATTGATTGTGAGCACGAAGATACAATTTTTCTAGATAATTTCGGTCTGTTTCAAGCTAACACTTTAATAATATTGATAACGGTTCAAAAGTTTTGTAATGAAGTGGAGTTAGAATGCTAAAAGGTAACAATTTATAAAAATTACGTTGGAACTTAGTAGTTGTTCAAGCTAAAGTTTATAATAAGTTATTAGAGATAATAGATAAATTATTTTAGAAAGGAACTATCGAAAACAAGAAATAGTCAAGCAGTATTAAAAGCAATCAATTTGGTAACCATCAGTTCGAAGTTGGTTAAAGAATGCCTAGAGAATCTGAACAAATTAGGCGAAGAAAATAGAGTCCTGCTGTGGATGCCAACCCATCAACTGATGGAAGGCAATGATAAAGCACACGATCTAGCTAGAAAAGGAACGCTCAACTCACTGGATCAGAACCGTTCTGCTTTCCCAAGTAGAAACCTACTTAAAGAGAAATAGTACCTACAGTCAATCTGGCATCGAAAAAGGTCTAGACTCCTATTATATTGGGAAAGCTTAAATTTGAAAATTCCTATCCCCCCACCCTACCGTTTTTGGAAAACTCAAATAAATTTTGGGTTCGATTTTCTGGCTGAACCGCTTTGGGATAAAATCAATTAATTTTGGCCAAAATGATAAATTTTTACATTTCTGTTTTAATCCTCAAAATATTACGTAAACATTGAAAAATCTCTATTTCATGATGTGGATAACAAAAAAGATCAAAACACTAAGTAGGTCCTGCGTGGCGGCAACGCAAAGTAAGCTGCGTGTCAAAGAAAATGATTGTTTCTTTATCGCGTCAATTTAGTATAAATTTAATTTGGTGAATGTGGCGAATTAGATTTCGAGCAATGTTTTTTTGTGATGATGGAGACGAATACTCATGGTAAGTAATAAGAAAAATATATAATACTCAGTTAAAAAAATTATTTTCTACGCATTTATTGCCAAAAATGTTAAGCAAGGTTACTTAAATTATTCATTACTTCTTTTCCGTTGGAACTACAAAAAAATGATTGCAATTGATTCATATCGGAATAATATTTCACAGTGCATTGGAATACCAGCTAAAATAGGACGTACTTAATTTTTGCGTGAGCTTGCATAAATACATTTTATGCGTAATTATAGCACAAGTCGTAAGAGTACCGGGTGGTCAACTAAGAACGGACCTCGGCCATAACTCAGTAACCGTTAATCTTTTTGACTCGGAATAAAAAAATTTATTAGGCAAATCGGCCAAGGGAAATCGCTGGAAATTATGTTCAAGTTCGAAAAATGGCCGCCAGGGGGCGCAACTGTTAGGTTCAATCAGAAAAACAACTTTTTCTTGCAAATATGCAAATAAAGGTATATTTTAAATAAAAACGTGTGCAGAAAATCGGGAAAACCGTGCACGAAGAAACAGCAGGACCAACACTCTCACGGACGTTTTCAATAGAGCTATGGATACATCTGACCCATTAATTGCAAGTTTATCTGTCGGATCACGAAAATCCAAATTAAAACAACGTTGTCTTCTGAAGTAAGAAATCTTCTAGAGTCATACAATCAAGATCATCATCCTCATACAGAAGACAATGATGATGCCGAAGACCGTGGTAATCTAGACACTTTTCTTGAGGATCTAGGCTTAAATAACATTGAACTTGATACAGAAATGTTAAGTATTTAGTCATAACAATGATAGTTCTTAGATTTAGATAAAAAATGTATTTTCACAACTTTCACATATCTGCATTATCCACTTTGTTCGATTTCCATTTATTTCTTTGTAAATGTAAATAAATTTCATTAATTGACATTGTATTTTACTGAAAAAAAAAATAATAATATGTTATTTTCTGGACACATGTTTAAATCATATTCAATTTTGAAAAATTGTCTAGAACTTGCAATAACAATTTTTATTTTCGTTTAAACAAAA